TTCGTGTCCTCGGATTGAGTTTATTTGTTCCAAGCTTGGTACATACAATTTGTATGCTCCAGACTTAGGGTGAGTGTAGGATTTATCCTATTTTATCATCATTATAGTGTAAGGTACAATCTGTACTGTGTTATCCCCTATTTATCATGATTATATTGTGTCCTTGGAGGAGTTAGGATTATTACCCTATTTATCATGTATTTGTGTATCAATTTATTCTTATAAATAGAAGATTGTGAGAGGGATCAATCAAGCCCTCAAGAATTATTTCTTTTCAATCTTAAGTAGTATCAGAGGAAGGGACAATTTATTCTTTTAAACAGAGCCCATGTCATTTTCATTTTCTAGGGAGGGTAGACACTGCCCCTGAGACGTAACATGAGGTCCATCCCTGGTGCAACATCAGTACGAGGAGAGATTATAATAGAAGAGAAACTTTAAAAATATGAAGAGAAGGGACATACAGCAAAGACGGGATTTCAGAGATAGAAGAGGGGAATAAAGTTTGTAAGGATACTATTATTAATAAATTTGAATGTCTATCATCTTCCTAACGCAAGAATTTATTGGGATTGGAAATGGCGTTGGTGTTCCATTACAAGATAACAAAAAAGAAACTAAATCTTCTTTAATATAGGTACTAACCATGGATAATATATAACATAGAATATCACCACATAGCAATGACCATATTTCTTATCATCTCAGACACTAAGTTATTTTATGGATAACGATTTTATTGGTACAAAGCATTAACCAATTCACCATTAACTAATTCCCATCAGAAAACCAGACTGACCACCTATAATGGAATCGCCCCTCCCAACAACATTATATTCATCCACAGGGTTTAAACTCTAAAATTTGCTTAACAAAGTAACCAATGTACTTTTTACTAGGAAATAGCCACATTGATAAAATTTCAAACAACCATACATAAATTTTCAATTGATTTGAACAAGACTTAGAATAACATAGATCTGAATTTGAATGACACTCAAAATATATTAAGAAACTTTTTCCTATACAACCAAGTTCTTTAATTTAAGATCAACGTAATATGAATGAAATTAAATTTTTCAGAAAAAATGACAAAAGGAACAGAAAAAAAAAACAGTTCTTAAAACAATCATACCATCATGCAAAATTTAGGAAAGGGGGTTGTCAGATGAAAGTAGTACAGAAGGATATAAGAAGAAATTATGCAAGGCATAGCATTATGAATGTCCAAAGATATGCACATCCATAAATATGAGTAAATATAAGACATGTAACAAACCTCCTTTTCTTGTTTAGCTTTAACCAATAGCTGATCTTGCTTCTGCATAAATTAAAAGTAGGAAAAAATGAAAGACAAAAGTATGATAAAAACATGTGAAGTTATCAAAAGTTCAGTTAGTCTGAGCAATTATTTGATGACTTAAAGCATGCACAAGCATGTGAGTTTGTCATTCTGCACAGGCAGATGAGAGATGGAAGAAGAAAAGACTTACATTATTCCTCTTGAAGAAGTTCTTTCTTTCCTCAAATTTCGACTTCAAAATAGAAGCACAACTGGAACCAGGATCCTAAAGAAACAGTCAATTGATAAGGGCCATCCAGTTTATCAATAATGATTCAAATTTGTAACCTATCAACAAGACCTACTCAATAGAATGAAATATATCCAGTTTCTCAATGATGATTAAAAATCGTCACCCCTATTGATCATACCAACTCAGCACATTGAGATAAAAGATGTTTGAAATCGAGAAAAAAGTGAATAATGTTACTCTATCATAAGGAGAAAGAATCAACAACACCATCTAGGAAGGCAACATACCACAAAGGATTGCACAATATCAAAGGTGACCTCAGAGCTGCTTATTGTCTCCACATGTTGAACAAAAACCTTCTTGTTATGAAATTCCACTTTAGTAGAGAAAAATCATATCAGGATTGAGCTATAAACTCTAAACAGCATTAAATTCTAAAAATTCCAGCCATTTCCTAGCACTTCATTTTGTCAATAATTATCTCAACTCAAGAAAGACTTGTTCATATTTAGCTTCACTTGAGTCATTCGGAATCCTTAATTAGGTAGCATCACTATCATGGCAACTTTGTTGTTTTAAACACAAAAATAGATATTATAAGCAAAAGAAATCCACATTACAAGAAAAAAAAATTTATAATGAAATAAATTAAGTTCGTAACACTTAATACAGGAAGGAAAATACTTATACATTATAGCTGGGGATTGCATGCTCAATAAGAAGAATGAGTAAGAATCAGCTTGGAGAATACATTTGTAACAGAATGTCCACCAGAAAGGATGAACTAAATCCATACCAATGGCCACAGTTAGTTTGTTATGGTAATCCAAGGATTGGTGGTCCTATACAGGCAGAGCATGCAAATAGCTTGGAGATTTTGTGGGTTTCATTCATAACTAGAGAAAATTAAATAGGGTTTATGTTAGGTTTCTTAAGAGCAAGAAACCTTGAACACTATTGTTAGAATATTTATCCTATTTATCATTGTTAGAGTAGTTACCCTATTTATCATAGTTAGAATATTTACCCTATTTATCATTATTATATTGTGTCTAGGGTTACCTTATTTATCATCATTATAATGTGTCTAGGATTACTCTATTTATCATGTACTTTGTATCAAAACTTTCTTTATATAGAATGAGAATGAGAGGGATCTTTCAAGCCATCGAGAATTATTTTACAGTTAATCTCAAATACTATTCTGGTTTAACTTCAGAAAACAAAACACAACAAAGAACAATGTTTCTTTATTTCAGAGAAACACAACAATGTACAACACTCTCAAGGAAGCCTGTCTTCCTCCCTCACAGGATGTGCAGTTCCTGTCTCACTACAAACAAAAACAAAACATGTCCCCTGACAGACACTTATTCCCCCTTATATAGCTAACTCCTAAAACAACCTCCTACGTAACTGCCTAACCGACTCCCCCCTCCATTCTATTTTATGTTCTGTTTTTTCTACCTTTTTCCTGACATAAACCCTTAAGACCCTATCAGTTTAGGCATTGCTTGTAATTATGGTTATAGCAGAGTTGTGTGTGAGCCTGATTTCTTAGACCCATTTGATTAATGCAGGCACACAAATTGCACTTTTAATATCAGAGTTGTTTCCATTATTTTCTGCTCTTCCAAAAAACAATGCTAACTGGATAACTTGGCACATCTATCTAAGTATTATTAGTCAGTGGGAGACCTACATTCAACTAAGGGTGCACAGTCCCACACCCTCAATTTTTCAAATATACTACTAAATATATTAAATTTTCAGTTTTTGGACCACTTAAGTTTAGATATTAACCTCACCATCCAGTGACAGAATCACATTGATATAAGAATGCGTAAATCCATATGTTAGATATAGGGAAATAGCCTAGTTATCAGAATCTTATTATTCACAATTAGAATCTCACAATTCAATACATTTTGGCAATCTACCATCTCTTATCTCAATATAATCTTAAAATGACTTTATATCTTTCTGTACATGAATGAACCCTTATAATTTTTATCATCTATAAGATTTGACAATTCATGATGTTTTACTTTTTCACCAATTCTTATGAAAACCAAAAGTCATGTGAGCCTAAATTTCAAATGAAGAGGAATTTAACACTTAAGAACTTATCCCATTTGATTACTCCACCTTTCTTTGTCACTCACTCAATATGTGTACTTTTTTAAGCTATTTAATAGTTTTTTCTTTTTCATTCTTTTAAATGTTTTATCCATTTCTTGTTTATATGGATTACACTGAACATTATATATCACATATTTGAACCAATTTTCACCTTTGTTAAAAAGAAAAAACTCAGCTATTTATGATTCAAATCTCTATAACCTTGGTAATAACACTTGTTTTTCTTTAAATAAATTGCTCCTCCTTATCAAGAGAATTGGGTTCACCATTGTTATCAGTTATCACGTTATGAAATATCATGCACTATCCACAAGTTCATCAAATACGCTAATACAGAGATTAAATTCTAAGGAGACAGACAAGCATAGCAAATCCTATTCATAATACTCACAAAGTTGCATAGATATAGTTACTTGTGGGAAAATATGAAGAAACTTAGCCACACATAAAGTAAATAATCTGTAAGACAAACTTAACCAAGAGCAACATACCCTTTTGAGCAGAACCAGAGATTGTTAAATTTCCAAGATCCAAGAGAGAACGTTTCAAGGGTCTCTCATTAATTTCCAGCCCTACATTGCATTGACAAAAGCACGTACAAAACTTTAAGCACGCAATGGCCCAAATAAAACCCAGAAAAAGAAAACAAAAAGAGGAAGAAAGTTTACAGAAAGCATCAAGTGGGGACTGAGAGGGCTTGCGTTTGACCCTGACCACCACAGGTTTCGGTAGTGCAGGCGCAGCCGAAGAGCTTTCGGCCATGTTCTCAATCTTCTCCAGCCTGTTCAAGTTCAGGGTTAAGCCGCTAAACGTGAAATAAATTATGAACCAGTTTGAACATAACCGAATTTAAAAACAGCTCAAGAAAAATATTATTTTTTCTAGAGTTGGTTCCAAATACCACAATTGCTATTAAATATGACAGTCCAGGTGGGGTTTTGCCCAAGGGTTTCACTGCCTTAGGTCTTTCTGGCAGTGTGCTGAGTTTTTTGTTGCGTGGTTTTTATTGGCAGGCATCATCAACATGGTGCTTCCCTTGCAATAACACTGAGCTAATATATAACCACAAGAACAGAGCTATAATCACCCACCAATCAGAAAAGCGAACCCAGAATCACGCAAGCTCGAACACACGTAATCGTACTCAAAAACCAGAAAACTCACTCACACAAGCACATACGAAACAGAGACTGAGTGTTGTGTTGTGTGTATTCTGTGTGGGTTTGTGTTGTTAAAAGCGAAAGATGAGGAAGAAGGAGCATGTGGTTGTATGTGATGGTCGAAGGAGCAGGAAGATGGGAGCGAAATAGAGAAATAGTGAAGGAGAAATTAGAGGAAGAAGAGAATGGGCAATGAAGTTGAAAAATGAGAAGAGCCGAGAACAGTGTGTTCTCTTCTAGACTCCAAAATGAAAAAGAGAGATGTTGATAGTGCGTGTGAATTTTATGAGGACAGAAATCTGTTTTTTGGGCTCCTGTGGGTTAGTGGAGACGAAGGTGAATTAATTGGGAGTCTTTCTTCCTCCACTTCCCTTTTTTTCTTTCCTGCATCCCATAAGAGTTGTAATTCCTAAATTATTCCTTTCTAAAATTATAATAAAAATTTCTACATCTTTTTATTTCTTTATATATCTTTTGATTGGATTGTTTCATAATATATTTTCAAATATGTGAAATGCTTTTTAGAATATTTAATCCGAAAAGTATAAATCCCAGTATTTGCATGTTCAGACGATCAATCATAGTTCAGTCAAGCTTATAGCAAGAAATTGTAGTCATCAAATCATTTCATTTACAAGTAACAAATTTTCCTTTAGAACTTTCCAGAGACTTAGCACTATAAGAACCATAAATAAAATGTAATGTGTTTAATCACATGAATGATCACAATTTTATAGCATTGAAAACCTAAACCTTTCCCAAACAAATACTCTAGCACCATCTCAAAATTCACGTCCAGAACCTACGTAAAATACTGTCACAGATAAACTCAAGCAATACCCAAACTTTCACTACACGTATTTAATTCCTATGTGAATTTTCCAGACCAATTATTAATTAAAACCCAACCACAACAATAATTACAGCATTCCCACCATTAACATTTACCCAAAATTTACCCTCAATGGTCTAAAATCACCCATACTAAGATTTACATACAATCCATACACTTATTCCAATTCAGAATTTAGACTAATAATATCTAATTATCCAGAATATATCAGTACAGCAACATAATTGTTCAAGACAACCAAAAGCATATTAGCAAATACTATAACTTGGTAACTTGCTTCATAACTCACTACCAACATAATAACTTGTTATTTGACATCAACTACTAACCAAAAATAATAATAATAAGTGTTATATAATATCCATACATAACTCTACACTAAACACCTATTTAAGCTCTCACAACTTCAAATATAAGTATCAAGTAAACATACAGTCAAATTCCACACATTTAGGTCCCATATAGATTTAACAATCAAATAATTTCATCTTTTATTTTTAATACCTCATTTCAAGAAACCCAAGCAGAACCAATCACAAACCATTAACCAATCATCTGAACTACTTAATAATACATACCGAAACTTAATCTTTACTTAATGAATATTTCATATTACAAAAGACTATATATATATATATATATATATATATATATATATATATATAATAATATATATCATAGTTTATTCTAAACCCTTATCCCAATTTTTCCTATATTCTGAAATACCAGAATCTATGTCATAGACTTTAACTTGAACTTATTTACCACTTACCAAAACAGATTAAAAAAAATATATTAATGCACATAGGTTCCTTCAACTAGTAAGGATCACATTTTAAATCACCGAACTCAACAAAACAAGTAATTACTTCATCCAAGTTGTTGTTCCATATTGTACACTAAGAACTAGTCTCAATCATGCATAACATAGTCACCAAACCCAAATATTCACGCAACTCATGCTCAAACAAAATAGCTATAGTTATAAGACAACCAACCCAAAGCATCCGTTAGAACACCAGAATCCATTCATCAGCAACATAATACACATAGGATACCATTCACACTTAACTTCTACTCCAGATATATACATACACCCAGCACCACCACCAATTCTCCATTCAGCAATAAATCGTGCAATGGTTTATACTTGAATTTAAACTTCTTATATAAGAGTTCAGGTTCGTCCACCTGTTCACACAATGATAGATTCCAAACTCCCCGACCCAATCTCTAATCATATAGCAATTTTATACCATTAAAAACAGAATATCATGCAATCCAATTCTCCTAACCCAATATCATTGTTAAAATGGAATACAGGAATATGTATTACTTCAGGTCTTAAACACCTCTACACTTACATTTATAGAAAACAAAGTAACTAACCACACTCCTTTCCAACTCACTCTTAGTTGGAACACACTTGAACACAACTCATACACACATAACTCATACACAATAACCAATAATTCTAACACTCCCCCTTAGGCTGGAGCATACAAATTGTATGAACCAAGCTTGGAATAATTGAACTTGGTTTTGAACTGGATGATTTGTCTTCAAGAGTGTGAGGCAAACAGAGATGGGTTATCACATGTCAATGAACTAACAGCAGCTTGTGAAACTTCAACTTCAAAAGTGGATGAAGGAGAGCAGCGGTGGACAATGACAAACTGCAAGGACTGAATCCCCATCAATGATGGATGAGTGACGGGATCTGCAGTGGCTGAAAGCTATAAAACTGTAGGGACTACACTGAATCCCCATCAATGATGGATGGGTGATGGGATCAACAGTAGTAAAAGCTACAAAACTGCAGGGGTTACACCCAGGGACTACACCCATGCTAAACTGCCATACTTGGTTTGCAGGATGGGTGATGGGATCAACAGTAGTAGCTGAAAGTTACAAAACTGCAGGGACTACACCCATGGTGGACTAACATTTCCTTTGCAGTGTTGTCTTGGAACGATACTCCCCCTCAGTGTGAACGGCATGGCGGAAACGGTGAAATTGTTGACTGAGATTGGAAGTATCACAGTTGTTGGTCCAAAGATCAAAAAGATTTGCAATCTTAAGAAATTGACAAAGCGGCAAATATAGTGAGAAAAAGGCAAGAACAGCAACACAGAGGCGAAACCCCCTACGACAGAGTCGAGGATGACGAAAGTGGAAAAAGGTAGGACTAGGCGTTGGTCCATCAACGGCGGAGACGAAGACAGACGAAGATGGCAGCAATGGCTGCTCTGGAGGGTTTGAACAGAGAGAGGGAGGTCCGGCGAGACAACTGGCAACGGTGCGGTTTGATGCCGACGCCGAGAAGGCGGCGCGTGATGAACACGCGTCCGAGATCTACTTGAGAGAGGAGGCACGTGACGGCGCATGCGGACGAGACAAAGACGACGACCACCAAGGTTAGGTCGCGCTTGAAGAGACGGTCCAGATCCACCGGGCACCAGTCGGAACTGTGATGGTGGCCGACAAGAAGGCGGCGCGTGACAAACACGCATTCGAGACTAGCTGAAGACAGGCGGCGCGTGGAGGCGCATGAAGAGGAGTCTGGTCTTGACTCTGACGAGGTTGGTCGTCACTCGAGGAGGCGGTCCAGATCTGCTGGTCACCGATCGAAACCGTGACGGTGGCCAGCGTAGATCGGAGAGATCTGATGCTCGTGGCGGCGGGTGAGGGAGAAGAAGCTTTCGAAACTGACGTGGTTGGTCGTCGCTCGAAGTGACAGTCCAGATCCGCTAGTTACCCGTCGAAACTGTGGCGGTGGTCAACGGTGGACAGAGGTTGGCGACGAACAGTGGCTGGCGACGGCGGAGAGGGGCGATCAATTGGGTTACGGCTCGCGACGGCTGACTGTTACGGAGGGAGTGTCTTTCTAGGGTTCCTAGGAGACTTTAGGTTTCTTTGATTCTGGGTGCTAAGATTTAAGAAGAAAAGATGGATTTTATGAAATTTTTAGGGGTTGCCGGAGGCCATGGTGGCCTGCCACCAGCAGACAACAAAGACCACCAGAAGAGATCAAAGAACCTGATATGATACCATGTTAGAAAGTAAGTTTTTAAGCCTAACTCAACTCCAGAAAACCAGCTTGAAAAATGAGGTTTCAACCTGAGTTATATATTATAATTTGGCCTTATCGATGTGGTACTTCCAACCATCATATACATTGTTTCCGAATAGAAAACATGTGGGACTTCCAACCATCATATACATTGTTTCCGAATAGAAAACGGAGAAGAACACATATATCACTCAAGCCATTTAATCAAATAAAAAAAGAACAAAATAGCTCCCCGTGCCTGGTTCGATTTCCCTTTCCCGGCAACTCTCGATTCACTTCGCGTACCACGTTCCCAACTCTCGCGTTCCTTCTCTGGCGTCCAAGAACAATCTCTCTCGGTGCCCTGCACACACCCATCACAGCCCCTATATAACCTCTCACCAAATTCACAAAACAACCCTAAAGAAAACCCTAACATGATTGACTTCACCATCTTCACCAGTTTCCCCTCTCTCAACCCAGTGCCATCATTTCTGAAAAAAAACTAAAACCTTATCTCCACAACCATCCCTCACTCCTTTTACCTTTACTCTCCCGGAGCAATACCGGTTTCCTCCCACCTCTCTTTCTCGCGCAAAAGATTCCCCTACCTTAGGGTTTTCGAAAAAGAAAGAAAAAAAGATAAAAGGAGAGAGAACTAACGAAGAGGAAGAATGGAAGAAAATGGACTTCCAGAAGAGCGTTTCCCCTACACCTCGAAGTCTTTGAGCTTGTAACTCCAACTTTTTCTAAACTAACTGTCAGAAAAATATTTAAAGATTTCGAAATCTAATTATTGAATTTCAAAATCGAAATAAATCTTTATCAAATTTTAAAATTTGATAAAAAAATTATTAAATTTCAAAATTCGATAAAAAATTATTATATTTTTAATTATTTATTTTATTTTTAATATTATATAATATAAATTATATTTTAATAATTATTAAAATATGAAAATATATTAAATAATATTAAATTTTCAATTTAAATTAAATAGTTATTGAATTTTAAATAAAAAAAATTAAAAAACAAATTAATCGCATTTTTGAAACCCGTAATATACATTAACGGATTACCGAACAAATTGTTTTAAAATTTTGTTTTTTATTTAAAATTTAATAATTATTTAATTTAATAATTATTTAAATTAATAATTATTTAATTTAATTTAATATTTAAATTTAATTTATTATGTTTACATATATTAAATAAGATTTTATATTATTACTTTCTTTTCATTTTTTATTCTTTTTTATTTTAGGGTTAAATATGTTTTTAGTCTCTGTCAAGCGATTTTTGTTTTAGTCCCTCTTTTAAAATAAGGTAGATTTTAGTTATCCTCCTTAAGGAAACTTTCATTTTAGTCCTCCAAAACTAACACCTTTAAAAATCAACTGATGTGACTAACGGTAGACTGATGATTTTTTTTTTGTCCTGAGTTAGTGTTTCTCACCTTTTCTCCATCTCTCTCCCTCGTTCCTTCCTTCCATCTTCCACCCAACCTCTCCACCGGTATCACCTTCCACCGAGCTCCAAATTCACCTCTAATTACCAAAACTCCAAGTTCACTTACTTGCAAGGACAGAATACCAACACTAACCCGAATCCGCTTTTCCATTTAACTAAGATAAAATCAAAATCACACTCGCTCATTTCCTAACCTCCAACAATGAAACCCATGCCCAAAGCGGAGTCCCAATCGAATCACCTCTAGAATAACAGCGTTCAATAGCAGATTCCCAGATCTCTAACGTTCCAGAATCACGGTGGAGAAAAATCAAGCTGAGGAAGGATTGGACGCCACGGCAGGCACTGCATTCACCAGCTTAGATGTTGTCTAAAGGTTTGATAGGATAGAATAGGAGGAGTGGGTCCCGCAGAAAGCAAAAATGCTTGTGGTGTGAACTGAACGAAGAAGCCCAACATGGTTGCCTACGGAGGAGACCAGTTCGATCAAGACAACCCCAAGCAGTTAAAGAAACTCTCCACTTAGTTCAATGCAACGTATTTTGCATTCTCCTCTTACTTCAATGCCTTAAATGAAAGAATATGTTGCTTATGGGAAAATCAAGAAAATCTGATATTAGTTATAATAGTAACTATAACAGCTATAAGGGTAACAGAGTAGCAACTAATAACAACAACCATAACAACACTATATGTAAACTATTAATTCAGACTTTACCTTCTTAATGATTACAGGAGAATTGCCAATTGGATCAATATTAGTGACAAGACCCTTTTCCTCAAGATAGAATTTCCTAAGTACTTTTTCATTTTCATTTGGTTTTATATAGAAAAATGGAAAAGCGGCAGTCTAGGATCCGTAAGCCAAATTAGGCAAAGGATTTACAAATATGTGGTCAAGCTCTGCCATCAGAATATATCTGCACCAATCATAAAATGCATTGCTAATTAGATTTCATTATTGGAGAGCAAAAAAATTGTATAAAACCATAATTATGACACTTACTCTTCCTGAATATCTGCTTTCTCCAGCCACTGAACAAAAGCCCATGCCCTATTTAGGACAATATAACCCTGCACCAAAAATAAAAGGATGTAAATTTTTTATGACAGCATGAATTGATAGGAAAAACATAGAAAGACCACAATATTGGCATTCATGATACAATTGATAATCATCTATGGCTTGGAACATGTCAAGTCAACTAAATTTTCTCAACATACAGGACCTAAAAACAGTCTCATCCACTCAGTATATATGTTCGTTTAAGTTAAGTTAAATGATCCCAAAGTTCACTATTTTTATTTTCTGAAAATCTTTGTAACGTGCACAGTTGTTTATTTATTATATTGGGTTGTTCATAGTAAGTTGTGCTTGCTGAGTTGTGCATGTAAGGGAATGTTGTTAAGTAATAATGTCTGTCATGTTGGCTGGTCTGTTGGACTCTTAAACTAAAACAATCAAGTTTGTATACCTTGATCTCGTCTTAGGTACTTGTGGCTGCAATTTTGAAAAGAAAGATGGCTCGACCATCTAACCCACAAATGTTTTACGGAAGCCAAAACAATACTGGTCCTCTTCTCTCTGATAAATTCAGGTACTTTTAATGTTACTTTTAATGTACTTTTAATGTACTTTTAACGTTGGCGATACTCACCTCGCGGCTAGTGGCGGCTGATTCTGCAGAGGTTGTGGCGCGGCGTGCAGCGGAGGCAATTTTTTCCTGCTCTGGAGACGAGACTCTACTTTCGTTGTGCAAATGGAACGAAGATGGGAGATCACTAATGTGTTCTGATCCGCACACCCCATTTCTCATTCTCGCACCCCTCATGGACGCCGAGAAGCGCTTGGTCAAGATTTACAAGAACGACCATACCGACTACGACAACAACAACGAAAATGACGAGGACGACGAGGACAGTGTCAATGACCTTTTGCAGAGGGAGGTTGGGTGGAAGATGGAAGAAAGAGACGAGGGAGAGAGAGAGAAAAGGTGAGAAACATTGACTCAGCGCAAAAAAAAAAAAATCGTGTCAGTCTACCGTTAGCCACATCAGTTGGTTTTTAATGGTGTTAGTTTTGGAGGACTAAAATCAAAGTTTCCTTAAGAAGGAGGACTAAAATGTACCTTATTTTGAAAGATGGACTAAAACCAAAATCACTTGACGGTATAGGGACTAAAAACATATTTAACCCTTTATTTTATTATTATAACTTTTATTTTAATCATTTTTATTTTTATTTTTTTTATATAATTAAGCCAACCCACCAATTACCAGAGGGATGGGTTCCTTTCTCCAACCTGTTTTTAAATAATAGACTAATTCGATCTTACCTGTTTTTAAGAGATCAATAATGAACCAAACTTCGACTGAAGCGTACCATATGAAAAATAAACATGTTATTTCAATATAAGGTGAACAACTTTTATAAACTAATCTATAGTCAATTTTTATCCTTAAGTTTATATTATTAATTAACTTAATTATATATATTATGAATTTGCTATGAATATCATTACCTTTTTATTAGAGAGCATAAAATATAATTAATTGACCAAATTAATTCTTTATTGAAAATATCTAGATAATATAAATTGAGATAAGTAACTTCAAGTGGATAAATCCGCAGGACAAGAAATTAACATGTATTTTAACAGTATCCACGTGTAGCACATTCGTAATTGAGTTCATGGTGGTAGCCACGTGTATGCAAACCCTTAATCGGTTGAGTTCACGTAATCAACAGCCAAAGTGATAAGAGAGTAATAAAACACTTTTTCTGCAACATCGATCAAAATACGTTGCCTTCAACTTCAGGTGGTTCAAAAAATGAACAAGAACACGGACAACCCTCCAAAGCCATTCGCATGCGGTCGTAAAGAGATGAAAGGTGTAGTTGATGATGAGCCAGAAACAGTTGTGAGAAGGAACGAAGAGATGAATGAGAAAGAGGGAAGCAACAGTGGCATAGCGGAAGAAAGGGAAAAACCAAAAGGAATGCCTCATCAGCAAGTTCCACAGCCTGGAGATTTCTCCGCAGAAGCCCTAGACAAAGAGCTTCCACCCACTGACGCCTAGTAACCCAATATAGGTAAAAAAGGTTAAGATTCTTCTTAAGATTGAGGTAGACTTAAGCTCAATTCTTAAGAAGCCGTCACATTTTCAAGCTATAGCATTATTATGTACTTTGAAGCAGGGTTTTTTTTTCATATTCAATTTGTTGTTTTCAAGTGCTCTGTTTTTGTTATTGTATCTGCAAACTAAGCTGTATAACGAGAATAAATGAAGAGTGCGATTAGGATAATAACATAATCTGTCATCTAGTGGAGTATCTTGCTACTTGTAGTTGAACTTCATTATATGTGAGATTGACATCCTTCCTTCCTATGTATGGAAAATGCTTATATATTTATACCTATTCCAAATAAAATATTCACATTGATATTTATACATACATAATCAAATAATAACAACTTATCACCTGAATGTCGAAAACTTTAAACCCAATTACGTCCTCTTTTGTGACGCACGATGCAACAAGAATCACCACTTTCTTCTTCACAAGTTTCGAGCAATGGAGATGTATGTAGTTGTAGTTTCCACCAATGGATGTGTAGAAGCTTTATGGGGGTGCGATGGCTTGTGCGAGAAACATGGGAGTTAGGTCATTTTCATATGAAGGTTTTCGATACTTTTCAAATCAAGGTAGTTAGGTTCATTTCCAATAGACTATGGGGTGAACGAAGAAAGACTCCTTTATTTTTAATGGTACAAAAACACGTGAAAGAATGAAAAAAGAAAAACGAACAAAAAAAACACTAAGTGAATCAAAATGTGAAGGGAGAGAAAATAAAGAAAAGTCTTCAAATTATTTTTATTTTTTACTATATTTAATTATATGTTTTACTATTTATTAACATTATGACGTATTTTATAAAAAAGTTAAAAGTCTATTTAATTTAATTGTCATAAATTCTCATACAGAACTTTTAAATTTTGGGGGGTTACCTTCTGTCTCCATGAAAATCCGCACCTCAGGCTTTTTTAACTTTAAATTGCAGTCCTATTCTTTATCATCACTGAAAACCCAAACTTAAATTAAATCAAGTCAAAATATTTGCTTGAATTTTATTTAATTTTGCATAGAGCCCATCCTTGAGCATAAGCTCTTCATGATCTCCCATCTGCAAAAAAGGAAATAAATAAATTGATTATGCATTGGCCTTGGGCCCTCTACTTGCTGAAATGTTCAAATGTTTGGTCTCATTTAAGCAATTGTTGAGTCCAAAATTTATTCAGTTAAAGCGCTTCAGATAGCTTTTGCATTAAATAAAAAATATTTAGGGACTTCCTCCAAACTTGCTTATCAATTAAAAATTTAAACTTCTTACTTCACTTCAAAATCAATTTCAACTAGAAATCACCTCAATGATGCCACCATCATCCATAACAAAGATCTTATCAGCAGCTTTTGCAGTAGAAAGCCTGTGAAGTTCAGTGATTATACTTAGCTAATCTTATATATTAAAGAAAGAAAGAAGCAAGGCAAAGAATTTACCTATGAGATATGATAATGATGGTTCTTGTTTTAGATTCATCTTTTAACGCATACAGCGACTCCTGAAATAAGAATTGCATCACAAAAACAGTTGCAGACTTTCATTTTCTTAGATAAATACAGAAATTAGATTGACCAATAAATGGAAATGATATTTAACTTTCAAAAATTAGAATTTGTGAAATATACCTGGATATAATGCTCACTCTCAGAATCTAGAGCACTGGTTGCTTCATCAAGTATCATTATAACAGGGTCCCTAAGAATGGCTCTGGCGAGGGCAATTCGCTGCTTTTGTCCGCCACTAAGTGCATTGTCATCAACAAGGGTTTCATATCCATTAGGAAGAGAAGAAATGAAATCATGGGCATAGGCCTTTTTCGCCGCCCGTTCAATATCTTCTTGTTTTATGTTCCCGGGGCAACCATACTTTATGTTTGACTTGATGTCCATATGAAAGAGATGGGATTCCTGTTTGAAACGTAAATTTTCAGAAAATGAGCTTTTAACTATGTCTGAACTGCAGTTTAGTTGTATAACCTGTGCAACATAACTAATGTTCTGACGCAGCCAACGAATATCCAACTCTTTAAGAGGGAATCCATCGATATATATCTGTACATAAAAGTAAATGTAGATTACATAAGAAATTATCGTGAAAAGTTCATGTATATACACATTATTGATATTTACATCACATTCCAAATCAGTATCTGGTCAAGATAAAGATGCCGAGTTTTATGCGAATGTAAAAAGCATGCACTATTGGAAAGGGATTTATTATGCCTATGTAACTTTTCCCTCATTAGGAGGATTTATTACGGTCTGCAACTTGTATTTTCACTCCTCCTGTCAAAGTATTTAATTTAAAGACTTGCAATGCCCCATGTTGCTCACTCACATATGTAGATCAAATATGCCAAGAATAAATAAAAAGTGAAATATGTAGAATTCATGTCCAACTAGCCGAGCCTGACTAAGAAAACAATTTCTTATAATTGTGAGCTTTAGAAGCACTAAGCATACCACAGAATCCACGTCTTTATTTAGTCAATTTCCATGAATTAACTATCACTAACATGAGCTCATATGCTTTGAAGTGTGCTATGTCTAGTCCGTAGTAGTCACTATCCCAATGGTGCAGAATATTAAAAACAAGGGTTTTCCAATTCAGGAACAATCATTTAACGAGACCATGACTTCACTGGATTTCAAGAAATTAAAATGCAAGAAGCTGATAACTTGTGCCAATACAGTAGGAAAGAGTTCTTGTAAAATATGCTGCCCTTTATTACTACAAATATGTACATTTATTGGGATTGGAAAGCATAGTGAACGTGGTTCCAACAAACAACTAATAAGTAGTGGATGATGAGCGTGAACATGCAGATATCCATATAAATTTCCAATGAACAGGGTCTAAAATATATAAATTATTTACCTGACCACTACTAGGCTCATAGAGACGAAGCAAAAGGTTGAGTAATGTGCTCTTCCCACTACCACTCAGACCAACCTTGGCAAGGTAGGGCTGTTCAGTTAATACTTTAGCATCACAAACATTTAATCGCAAAAGATTAAGAGAAATCTTACAATGGCAACGACTTGATTTTCCTCTATGGAGAAGTCCAAGTGTTCTAGAACAGGCATCTGATCAAATGTAGGAAAGAAATGAAATTTAACAACTAATCAAAAACAAACATGTCATGCCTCAGAATTGAGTAGTAAAAGGTAATAAATCACATTGAGAAGGTTTATAAGGATGAAATATTACAAATCACAATGTCAGTAACTTGATTAAAAAAATTTGTCACAAGTAGAGTGCATACTGGTGAAAATCAGAATATAATATTCTGAATTTATGGTAATAATAATAGCAGCTTTAGAAAATACATAATATCCTCTATGTATAATTAATGTAATAAGTCTACTTAAAATATGCATCAGTTGTGTATTAATAAAGCAGTTTCAGTCACAATATTCCTGTTTTTCTTCTTGGTTGCTTCAACAATTGGATATTTTAGATATATTGCGTTTTATGTTAATTAGGAAAACATAATCCCTATGTTAATTAGGTCACTTTTACATATTCATTTGTATTTGGACTTATCTCACATTCTCATTATTACAAATACATTATCTTATGAGTATTTTCTATACAATGGAGCCTGATAGCAAAGAGAAAAAAGGGGAAAAGATAAAAGAAACTCTTGTATTATTGCTCACTCTACCTAAGCGAAACAGAGGAGAAGAAATCCACACCACATGAAATACCCTGACCTCATTCCCAATTACCCCAAAATGCCAGTTTGCCCAACATGTGCTCTCCCCTCCCCTCTATATTCTCCCTTTCTCTCTTTCCAAAATAGAGAAAAAATCTTTCAGTTACGATCCCAATCATTGGGTGTGTGCAGGTGGCCCCCATGGAATGGATTTCCACTTCTTTCTTTCATGCACCTTAGTGAACTTACCACTTTTCCCTTTTTCCTTTAGAACTATATTTGTACCAAATCCATCCTCCATAGTTTTCACCTTGTCCTCAAGGTGAAGGTCTGGAAAGTAATTCTCAATCTTTTGTAGAGATTCGCATGAATTTTCACACAATGGCATACCCTTCCATTTAACTAACATCTCCGCGGTCTTTCCTTCTCCTCCCCTAACAACTAGAATCTCTTCTGATTGCATGGTTGCACTGTTACATCTTACGACACAATTGACTTTAATAAGGAAACATGAAAAACTACATGGACCTTGCTACCTTCTGGCAACTTTAACTTATAAACTACCTCTCCCACTCTTTCATTGATCTCATAGGGCCCATAATATCTCGGACTGAGCTTTTGATTAATTCTCTTGGCTAATTTTGTTAGCTTATAAGGTTGGATCATCAAGTAATCCCCAATCTTGAATTCCTCTTTTCTTCTATGCTTGTTTGCTTGTTGCTTCATGCGGTTTCGAGCTTGCAATAAGTGGTGTCTAAGTTTAGTCAATATCTCATTGCTCTCTTGCATCATGAAGGACACTTCTCCAGATAATTTATCTACAATTACAATGATTGATGGGCCTAGGGTCTTATCTCATGGTATTGGAACTATTAATCTTTTTCCATCTTTATCCTTGGGTTCTTGACTTAGGTGTCAAAGATCACATTACTGGTAACAAATCTTTATTTTCTTTCTTATCCTCTCCAAATTATTTTACCGACGGTTGCAATGACTGATGGGTCTAGTGTCTTATCTCATGGGGTTGGTACGATTAATCTTTTTCCATCTTTAACCTTGGGTTCTTGACTCAGGTGCCAAAGATCACATTACTGGTAACAAATCTTTATTTTCTTTCTTATCCTCTCAAGATTATTTTACCTACGGTTACGATGACTGATGGGTTTAGGGTCTTATCTCATGGGGTTGGTACGGTTAATCTTTTTCCATCTATAACCATTGATAATGTTCTTTATGTCCCTGGGTCCCCCTTTAACTTATTATCCATTAGTCGTTTAACCCGTTCTCTTGAATGTTATTTCGTTTACGAAAAATTCAGTTTGTTTACAAGATCGAAGTTCGGGACAAATGATTGGCATCGATTGTGAGTCTCATGACCTTTATCATCTTCACCTTTCTACCCTTGTTGGCATAGTTATGGAGTCTCAATCTCTTCTTCATGCTCGATTATGTCATCCCAATCTTGCCAAATTGCAACAACTTGTTCCTAGTTTGTCCAATTTATCTAATTTGTTGTGAGTCATGTCAATTAGGGAAACATAGTCATAGTTCCTTTTCTCGTAGCGTCTCACAACAGGCTATGTCACCTTTTACATTAGTTCACTCTGACATTTGGGGACCTAGTCGTGTCAAGTCTAATTTAGCTTTTTAGTATTTTGTTACTTTTTTATTCATGATTATTCCAGATGCATTTGGTTGTTTTTAGTGAAAAATCATTTTGAGTTATTTTCTATATTCCAATCCTTTTATAATTAAATTAAAACTGAGTTTGGGATTTATATTCAAACTTTACGAAGCGATAATGACCGTGAATACCTTTCGCATTCTTTTAAACATTTTATGGCTTCTCATGACATTCTTCATCAAACTTCATGTGCTAATACACCTCAACAAAATGGGATGGCTGAGTGCAAGAATAGACATCTTCTTGAAACAACTCGTACACTTTTAATTCATGTTGAGGTTCCGCTACAATTTTACGACAATGCTATTTTAACCGCATGTCATCTTCGGTTTTAAATAAAAAAATTCCTCATTCTATTTTATTTCCTCATGCACCTCTACATCCTTTACCTATCAAAGTTTTTGGGTCTACATGTTTTGTTCATAATTTTAATCCTGGTCTTGATAAGTTATCTCTTAGATCATCCAAATCTGTGTTTTTAGGATTTACTCGATCACAAAAATAATATAAGTGTTTCTCTCCTTTTCTTAATTGCTATTTTATTTCCACAAATGTCTCCTTTTAATCCAATGAAGACATCGTTCCCAACAACCACCAAGTGACTCACTTCAAGTGTCAAGTATTTCCGACAACTAAGTATGACTCTCCAATTGCCCTTCATAAATGTATACATTCTACTCGTAATCCCTTCCCACATTATATTGCTTTGAGTTACCATAGATTGTCTACACCTTCTTATACATGCCTTCGTCTATTTCTTCTGTGTCCATTCCTAAATCTATTAGGGATGCCTTAACCCATCTTGGTTGGCATCAGGCCATGCTAGATGAACTATGTGCTCTTCAAAATAAGGGAACCTAGGAGCTCGTCCCAATACCATCCGAGAAATTTGTTGTTGGTTACAGGTGGGTTTTTGCTATCTAAGTCGGTCCTGTTGGTACTATAGATCACATCAAAGCTTGTAGCCAAAGGCTACACATAACTTTTTGGATAAGATTATGGAGATACTTTTTCTTCAGTGGTAAAGATGGCTTTTGTTCATTTATTTCTTACCATGGCTCCTCTTCAACAATGAACTATTTATTAACTGGATGTCAAAAATGCTTTCCTTGGAGGAAGAAACTTATATGGAGCAACCTCCCGGATTTGTTGCTCAGGGGAGTCTTCTAGATTTGTATGTCGTCTTCGCAAATCTTTATATGACCTAAAATAGTCTCCTACGACCTGGTTTGGCAAATTTAGCAGCGTGATTCAATAATTTGGTATGGCTCGAAGTGAGGCAGATCATTTAATCATTTACCGTCACTCAAGTGTTGGATGTGTCCATTTGATAGTATATGTTGATTACATTGTTCTTACAGGATCGACCCCCATGGCATCTCCCTGATGAAACAACACCTTTGCTATCATTTTCAAACCAAAGATCTTGGCAAGCTGAGATACTTCTTTGGTATTGAGGTAACACAATCCAATGATCGTATTGCTATATCTTAAAGAAAGTATGCATTAGATATTTTGGAGGAAACTGGGTGGATGAATTCAAAACTTGTTGACACACCTATGGATACCAAACTCCTACCAAATCAAGGGGAGCCTACTCATCCCGATATTTCCTTTGTAGTCAGTGTGGTTAGCCAATTTCTCAATTTCCCATGTGAAGATCGTTGGAATGCAGTCATCGTATATTAAAGTACATCAAAGGATATCCTGGAAAAGGTTTGTTATATGGTTCTAATAACCATACAAAAGTTATTTGCTATTTAGATGCTGATTGGAAGGATTTCCTTTCGATTGAAGATCTACCCCGAGTATTGTGTCTCCATTGGTGGTAACTTGATTTCTTGGAAGAGCAAGAAAAAAATTGTTGTGGCAAGATCTAGTGCAAAAGCAGAACATAGAGTTATGGCCTCAGCCACTTATGAACTTGTTTGACTTAAGCAATTTCTTAGAAAGTTACAATTTGGAGATGTCACTCAAATGACACTTATATGTGACAATTTAGCAGCTCTTGATATTAGTTCTAGTCCTGTCTTTCATGAAAGTATCAAACACATTAAGATTGACTGTCATTTCATTTGAGAAAAGATTGTATTTGGAGACATCAAGACTGAATTTTTTAACTAAAATGATCACTTAATAGCTATTTTCACCAACAAACAAACAACAAATCTTAGAGAACTCTTTTCCCATGGAAGATCCACTTTTTCCTTCCTACCTCAACCTAACCAAAACTGACACAAATTTTCTTCACACTCTCCATATAGTTGCTTGCCACACACACCCACTATAAAACCTTTCTCTCTCCTCGCATTTTCCCATTGCCATTTGTTACTTTTGTGGGCCTCGCTTCGCTTCCTTACTACTACCTGACACACCCACACATAAAAGGCTTATCATGTAGAAAGCATTAAATCATTAGTAGTGAACTCATAATGGAATCATTTGGATGACGCTTAAGCTCATGGAAACTACATGAATGCCATTGAGATGGCAAAAGAAGCATTGTGAATAAGCAAACAATAATCACCAATTGTTGCTCTAAATAGTCAAATGTAGTGAACTTTTTTTTATTCATTGCTTCGGAAAGTAATTAAATACACAAAACTAGTTTTTAATTAAAGTGACATCAAATGTCCTAGAAATTCCAAACAGCCATATGGATTTTAATTTTCAAGCTGTTGTGAGTAAAGCTAAACATGCTTCTTATAACAAACTGAACAAAAGACACCACATATAACAAAAACGCATACATACCATAGTCCTTGCAGGATAATAAAAGGATACATTTGCAAACTGAATATGACCTGCTAACCTGTGCAATTTCACGCCTGCATTAGGGAATAAGCCCAATTAAACAATAGATAACTATACTTGAGTAAGGGGAGCTATAGACATAGTTACTTTCCTTTGGCTAAGAATTGATCACTGGGCAAAAGATTAATCAGTTGGAATATTTGTTCAGATGCTCCAATGGACTGCAGCAATGATGTTAAGCTGTTTGTCATCCTCCAAGTTGCATAAATCAACCACTCACAGTATAGTACATACTTGGTAAGTTGTTCCACAGTTACATGACTTCTGAGAACAGACAAACCTACCAACAGCACTGCAAATATCTGCAAGTTGTAATTTCAGAAACAAAATATTAATTTGATATTTTTCGGTTATTAGTATCCCTTGAAAAATGGGAAAAGAATAAAAAAAATAGCAAACACCGGTAAGTTCATGAAAACCTGAAGTTTAAAAATCTTCAATAAAATACCCAAGATCAATATATTATATCTAAAAGCTATCTAATATAGTTCTATAAATGTTACAGGAAGTTGGTGTTTAGAATACTTGAACTTTGTAAGAGAATAAAGAACTGTTGTAATTTGAGATAATATCTTTAGAATCTTCCTAATTAGAGGAAATAGATACATAATCTTTTATTTTAGGTTTAATAGCCAATTTAGTCCCCACTTTGGTTGAAAAATCTCAATTTAGTCCCTCGTTATAAAAGTGTTTTACATTAGTCCTAACTTTTAAAATAGTGGGTCAGATTGGTCCCTTTCGTTAAATATAAGTTAACGAAATTAATGGATGATGATGTGACACAGCTTAAAGCTGATGTGTTAGATTGGTCCCTCGTTAGCTTTAAGTTGTGTCACATCATCATCCATTAATTTTGTTAACTTATATTTAACAGAAAGGACCAATCTGACCCACTATTTTAAAAGTTATGACTAATTCAAAACACTTTTATAACGAGGGACTAAATTGAGATTTTTCAACCAAAGTGAGGACTAAATTGGCTATTAAACCTTTATTTTATTTTATTTTTCCTAGTTTTCCTAGTTTCCCTATTTTCCTTTCTAGGAGAACTAGATTATTACAAATAGAGGATATGAGAATATATTTTTTGATTAATTGAGAATAATAAAATAATTCTTATTTTGTACTTGGTATCAAGAGCTTCCGATCTTGGGGTTCCGCTGAACAGTCACGCCGCTGTCGCTGTCCGACCACCGCTGCTGCTGCCATCGCCACTTGGGATCGTTGACAGGGCAGAAAGGTGCGCCCAGCGACCATAAACGCCGCTGCACAGTCACGCCACCGCCGCTGTCCGACCACCGCCGCTGCCGCCGTCGCCGTTTGGGGTCGTTGATAGGGCAGAAAGGTGCGCCCAACTCCGACGACCACAACGCCGGAAGTCGCTCCGTGAGAGGAGCCGCCACGCACCGCCACGCGCCTCCACCGTCGCCGGCGCGTGTAGCCCACACGCCCACCCCGGCGAGACCCACTCGCCGCCACCGCCACAGAAAGGGTCGCCTGAGACTCCTGAGTTTTTTCCTAGGGTCGGTGACGACCCGTTTGGCCTACATTTGAGTATATCTGAGTTTTAAGTTCCGCTCTTTTTTCTCAGTGTGACCCACTCGCTGCTGTCGCCTCAGACAGAGTCGCCGGAGCCTCTGAGTCTGTTCCTAGGGTTTGTGAAGACCCGTTTGACCTTTTCTTGAGTAGATCTGAGCTTTTAAGTTCTGCTCCTTTTTTCTCGGTGTGACTCATACGCTGTCATCGTCTTGGAGACTCCTGGTTGCGTTCTACGAGATGTCTGAAGTAAAAATTATTCCCTGGAAAGCAATGGATGAATCAATGAGTAAGCCCTTTGGATCATGTACTTTGTCCATAAAAGGTAAGACTTGCCTCAATACTGTTGATCATGTATCTCAAGGTATTTGGATCCTTGATTCAGGTGCAACTGATCATATGACACCTTTCAGTGTGTCCTTCGACTCATATGGTAAAAGAAATAAAGAACAACTTATTACAGTTGCGAATGGTCAGGGTATACCTATATGCGGCTCTGGGAATATAATTTTGGACTCATCTATTGTATTGAATGATGTTTTACATGTTCCTCAATTAGCTAATAGTCTTATCTCTGTGCAAAAACTCACAAAGGATTTAAATTGTTTAGTAACATTTTTTCCAACTCATTGTGTTTTTCAAAACCTTGCCACGGGAAAGACAATTTTAACTGCTAAGGAGCAGAGTGGGTTGTATTTTTTAGTGTTTAATGACCAAAGCAACACAAAAATCATGAGTCAACAAGCTACATCTGAGACGTGGGCAAAATCTCAAATATGGTTACATCATCAAAGGCTTGGCATCCTTCATTTAGTCTTATCAAGTCCTTGTTTCCCCACTTGTTTACCAAAGAGTCTGTTGAGTCTTTTAAATGTGATATTTGTCAATTGTCAAAACATCATCGTGCATCTTATCCTATTAGTCACAAAAAGAGTATTTCTCCATTTGATTTAATTCACTCTGATGTTTGGGGTCCTTTCATAGATTCTATTTCCGGAGCCAAATGGTTCGTTACCTTTATTGACGATTGTACCCATGTCACGTGGACATACTTTATGAAAAATAAATCCGAAGTTTTTCAAATTCTTGTTAATTTTTTCCATCTTGTCCAAAATCAATTTGGAAAAAATATCAAAAGAATCACATCTGATAATGGTACTGAATACGTGAATCATGAATTTCTCAATTTTTTGTCTCATAATGGTATTGTTCAGGAACTAACTTGTGTTAACACCCCTCAACAAAATGGGGTTGCAGAAAGAAAGAATCGTCATCTTCTTGAAGTAACTAGAACTCTTCTTTTTCAAATGTCTGTTCCAAAAAATTACTGGGGAGAAGCTGTGTTAACTGCCACATATCTCATCAACAGGTTACCCACTCGTATCTTAAATGGCATTAGTCCTATAGAGTCTATTGTCTTTTCTTCCTTCTTGTTCCCTACTAATGAGTTTACCTAGTCGAGTCTTTGGATGTGTTGTTTTTGTTCACTCTCATCATCCTAACTGTGGTAAATTAGATCCCAGAGCTCTTAAATGTGTCTTTATTGGGTATCCTTCTAATAAAAAAGGGTACAAATGTTATCATCCTCAGAGTCGTCGCGTCTTTATCACCATGGATGTCACCTTTCATGAAACACAATCCTTTTATGTCAGTCCACCACTTAGAGGGAGAAAGCACTTGAAGTGGATGAATTCTCCTTGTCATTACCATGTTTGTCTTTGCAGGATGCCCAAGACTTGAGCAATGAAGCTACCATAGTCCACAATGAGGAAGAAGAGGAAGAAGACAGATTCTTTGGCAAAAAATATGAAAGAAGAGAACAACCCACTTCGACTCTCGAGCAAGAAAAATTGTCTAATCCGGAGGTGAGGATCCCTGAAGATATCAATGAGGAGGAGGTAAGTATTACCGAGGATTTACCCATTGCATTGAGAAAGGGAAGAAGATCATGTGCTAAATATCCTATTTCTCAATATGTTTGCACTAACAATCTCCCTGATAAGCACAGNAAAGGTTTAATAGCCAATTTAGTCCCCACTTTGGTTGAAAAATCTCAATTTAGTCCCTCGTTATAAAAGTGTTTTACATTAGTCCTAACTTTTAAAATAGTGGGTCAGATTGGTCCCTTTCGTTAAATATAAGTTAACGAAATTAATGGATGATGATGTGACACAGCTTAAAGCTGATGTGTTAGATTGGTCCCTCGTTAGCTTTAAGTTGTGTCACATCATCATCCATTAATTTTGTTAACTTATATTTAACAGAAAGGACCAATCTGACCCACTATTTTAAAAGTTATGACTAATTCAAAACACTTTTATAACGAGGGACTAAATTGAGATTTTTCAACCAAAGTGAGGACTAAATTGGCTATTAAACCTTTATTTTATTTTATTTTTCCTAGTTTTCCTAGTTTCCCTATTTTCCTTTCTAGGAGAACTAGATTATTACAAATAGAGGATATGAGAATATATTTTTTGATTAATTGAGAATAATAAAATAATTCTTATTTTGTACTTGGTATCAAGAGCTTCCGATCTTGGGGTTCCGCTGAACAGTCACGCCGCTGTCGCTGTCCGACCACCGCTGCTGCTGCCATCGCCACTTGGGATCGTTGACAGGGCAGAAAGGTGCGCCCAGCGACCATAAACGCCGCTGCACAGTCACGCCACCGCCGCTGTCCGACCACCGCCGCTGCCGCCGTCGCCGTTTGGGGTCGTTGATAGGGCAGAAAGGTGCGCCCAACTCCGACGACCACAACGCCGGAAGTCGCTCCGTGAGAGGAGCCGCCACGCACCGCCACGCGCCTCCACCGTCGCCGGCGCGTGTAGCCCACACGCCCACCCCGGCGAGACCCACTCGCCGCCACCGCCACAGAAAGGGTCGCCTGAGACTCCTGAGTTTTTTCCTAGGGTCGGTGACGACCCGTTTGGCCTACATTTGAGTATATCTGAGTTTTAAGTTCCGCTCTTTTTTCTCAGTGTGACCCACTCGCTGCTGTCGCCTCAGACAGAGTCGCCGGAGCCTCTGAGTCTGTTCCTAGGGTTTGTGAAGACCCGTTTGACCTTTTCTTGAGTAGATCTGAGCTTTTAAGTTCTGCTCCTTTTTTCTCGGTGTGACTCATACGCTGTCATCGTCTTGGAGACTCCTGGTTGCGTTCTACGAGATGTCTGAAGTAAAAATTATTCCCTGGAAAGCAATGGATGAATCAATGAGTAAGCCCTTTGGATCATGTACTTTGTCCATAAAAGGTAAGACTTGCCTCAATACTGTTGATCATGTATCTCAAGGTATTTGGATCCTTGATTCAGGTGCAACTGATCATATGACACCTTTCAGTGTGTCCTTCGACTCATATGGTAAAAGAAATAAAGAACAACTTATTACAGTTGCGAATGGTCAGGGTATACCTATATGCGGCTCTGGGAATATAATTTTGGACTCATCTATTGTATTGAATGATGTTTTACATGTTCCTCAATTAGCTAATAGTCTTATCTCTGTGCAAAAACTCACAAAGGATTTAAATTGTTTAGTAACATTTTTTCCAACTCATTGTGTTTTTCAAAACCTTGCCACGGGAAAGACAATTTTAACTGCTAAGGAGCAGAGTGGGTTGTATTTTTTAGTGTTTAATGACCAAAGCAACACAAAAATCATGAGTCAACAAGCTACATCTGAGACGTGGGCAAAATCTCAAATATGGTTACATCATCAAAGGCTTGGCATCCTTCATTTAGTCTTATCAAGTCCTTGTTTCCCCACT